TGTACCTCCAGAGCCTCTTTCTCCTTTCCCCGGGTGTCTTCAAACACCCTGGATGCTACAGTAAAAAACTTTAGTCTAGATTTGCATCACTGACACTGAGGGCACAGTTTAGTGCCTAAGTACTAACACAAATACATTCCTCATGTTATTTTGCTGCAGTAAAAGGTCTGTCTCAGAAGATCTTGGCTGTAAAGTCATGAAGCAAACATCTTTTTCACCTGAATCATCCATCACCTGCCACTAAGGAAAGGGGAAGATGTTGCAACTAGAAGGGGAAGGATGTTGGAACTGGAAGAGGCTTGGAACTAGATGATCTTTAAGGCTGCTTACAACCCAAGCCATTCTATGTTTCTTTGGTTCTATGTTCCTTTGGACAGAAATATTTTTAATCCTGAAATCTGCTCATTTAGATGTCTATAGGCAGGTGTCTAAATCTAAGCTGTTTACTTTTACTTTCCAATTAGTAGAAAGAAATAGGTATCTTTCTGTTCCTAGCATCTTCTCCTGAAAGGTCAGAGGAATGGTTGGTCCCTGAACGTCTCCCAACAAGGATAGACTAGGTGAAAGAGGCACCAGAGGGAGGCCCTTTTGCCATCAAGAGAGCTGAGTCAGAAGCGTGGATATACTACACTACGGTGAAGAAAGCCCCACCATCGTGGAAAATTGTCAATAGGGATATGATAAGACCTCCAAATTGACTCTGATGTCTAATTTTGTGTATCTTTTTCAAATCTGGGGAGAATTAAAAGGTATTGGGATGTTAGTGGGAGCCAATTTTGTGGTAAAAACTGAACCAGAGGGAGAATTAGTAAGACATGGAAATCTACTGAAATAGGGATGGACTTCTAGTCCAATTCCAGACCTTAATCTTGATGAGACGGCAAGTGAACCAGGAAAAAGATGGGGAGGAAAGAAATAAGAAATAAAAGGCAAATAGAAATAGACTAATTGATCTATCTCCCAAGAAAAACCCAGGGTGAAAATTTGATGTTAGGATTAATGAAAGAGCTTGCTAATTTGCAAAACATGTCACAAATGACTGCTTGTTTGCCAATTCCAAGAGCAGCAGGTGAACCAATTCCATGGGGAATTTTAACTGTGAGTACAACAGAAAAAATGAAAGCACACCTTGTGAACAAAAACCTGTGGCTGAATGGCAACAACAAACAGAAACCATTTGGAAACAATGGAAATCCCCAGGTAGTGGGACTGGCTGTGAGAAATTGTTAAATTATGTTTTTATCAAAATAGGGAAATCTAAGACTGTAGGGTGGTGTTCCTATGATGAACAGAGAAAGAAAACGTGAGTTGGATGATCATGGAATGGAAATGTAATGAGACAAGTCTAATACAAAAGAGCGAGGCAAACTGGGACTCTGTTTGGTGGACTATGGCCATTTTATCTCCATTTCAATACATGGCTAAGGCATCTTGGTGTTTCATTTGGGATGGAATGGCTTTTGCAACCTGGCCAAATGTAAAGGACAGGAGAAGTTCATGGCAAGAAAAGGAAAACTGAGTGTCGTGGTGGAAGTGTGAAAAGGTATATGATTGTAATACCACCGACAAGTCAATCCAGGCTACTAGTCCTCCTTTAGCTGCTGCTTTAAAATGCAAATGTTTGTGTAGGGGTCTTAAGAATGACCTCAAATTGACTGACACATACATACCCAAAAGAGGAACAATACTTAGTTGCAAAGAAATCTGCACTCCAGACCCCAGGACACTTTGTGTGGACAATGAGTGATGGGACCTGGACAACTCATTTCCCTCTAGATGGTAAAGGAAGACAAATAATATGAGGCATGCCGACTCCATGTCCAACCTGGAAAAGAACTCCTTTTAGAGGAGCATTAGAAAATTTAAAATTGGAACTGGTGAAGAGGTAAGAAATAGATGAGGAATGGAATGAATCTTCGACTGGCGTGAAAGCTGGTTGGGCTTTGAAGTCTGCTGACTCCTTTAGCAATATAGGAGAACAGGGAATGCATCTATCAACTAATGGGACAAGTAGAAAGGCTATCAAACGCAACCAGAAAAGGATTTAAGGACCTGAATTTGGAATTACAGGCAACTTCAAGGGTGGCTTTACAAAACAGAATGGCTTTGGATATGCTCTTACTTAAAGAGCCTGGGTTTTGTGGCTACTTGAAAGATAAAATTGATCATTATTGTATACACATTCTGAATGTGACTCGAGACGTGGAGCATGACTTAGACTTCTTGGAAAAGGTAGAAGAGAATACTCAAAAGTTTCAACAAGACATACAAGAAAGTTGGAGAGATAAAATCTTCAAGGGATTAGGATGGAATTTGAGTTCATGGATAAAATCACTGATTAGCACTGCATTAGCCATGTTGATAATCTTTTTAATAATTATTATGATCTACTATTGTTTAAAAAGGCAAATAAAGAGCAAGGCTGCATTTAGTGGAATGATCATCCGAGCAGTGGCCAGACAACACAATGAACAAGAATCAGTTCCGGAGACACCCACTAACATAGAATGACTGCCACCAACAAGTAATAAAAACAAGTATTTCAATGTTAGAATGAACATACTGAAATTAGTTTCGAAACTTTCCAAGGGAGGAGGTGCCAAGCAGGGTAGGGCTCGGTTAGTACATGGATGAATCTGAAGGATTGTTTGTTCACCTCAGAGAACAGTAGCTGTGTCCATCTCTGCAAGGGAGATACATGAAACATTTTCTTGCAGAGTCACTTCACTGTGCGGTCTCAAAACCTGAGTGTTAATGTGTGCTTTTCCTCATGCCATAGATCTGGAGAAGAAATGAAAGCTAAAAAAAAATATTCCAGAAATAGAAATAAAACATTAATACCAGAAAACTGAGCGGAAGCAAATATCTCCTGAGATCCAGCCTTTGTCAAAAGATCCTTCTGGTTTGGTGACACAGAAGTCCCAGGCTAATCACTTTGGGAAGGTGGCATGGAAGGCAAGAGCCAATACCCTGACATATCCTAGCTGAGGTGCTAACGTCAGACTCAAGTGCTTACTTCTTTTGGATGAGATTACAATTTGCCAGTTTTAAGACACAGGTCCACCTTCTGGTTTGCTTTCAGCACATTCCAGTAAGAAACAGAAAGTAAAGTGTGATCACAAAACTGCTGCTGAACACAGCTGCCCAAACTGAAAGACAGCTTCAAAGCTGGAAAATATTTTATTCAGTTCTGTGTTTCAAGCCTGAACCTATTGTAATCAGGAATTAGACGTCGGCTATCCAAAGAAGAAGTTCTACAGAAGTGGCCGTGTTTTCTTCAACTGGAAGAAAGAAATATATGCCAGTCAGAAAGGGTAGAAGTGAGGTAACGAGGAAGAAAGAGAATACAGCCATGAGTGAAAGAGGAACATTTTCTTGGCAGTACTGTGATCAAGGAAGTTCAGATGTATCTTAATGTCTCAGCTGCTTCATTTGTGCCTGCCAGTATGAGGAACCTGTGTAAAGGGCTAGATTTTCTTACTAGCCGCCAATGCTAGATCTTTTTCTACCTTTTTGTTCTGAAGCCTTTTTTTTTACCAGCTATGACAGAAGTAACATATGCTAATCTCAGATTTGAAAACAACCATGAACTGGATAATATCACAGAGCCCAAAAATACTAAGGAAAAAGGTGTAGTATCTATCGGTCTTTTATGATTTATTCTTGCTAGAGTGGATGGGATGGGAAACATTTGTAATTATAAGCCCGGGGGGGTTTAGCTTTAGGGGATAATTAGCTTTGCTAGTATCAAAAAATTATACTAGTTATAAATCTACCATGGGTTTTGTTGTCATTTCTGCCTGAAGTTTCTGAGTTTGGAAGGTATACTTGAAATAGTGATCTTATTATTTCACGGCAAAGCATATTACTGAGTGTTATACTAAGCTCCACAAATAGTCCTAATTGTCTAAATCTCAACAGAGATAACCTGAACTATTTTTTAAAGTGAATAAGTTCCATTTAATTTCTCTATCCATTTGCATTCAAGCTCAGAATTGAATAAGCTTTAACTGACTCACTTTGTTTCACTTCTGAAGTTCTGGGCTGAATTAAGATACTGGTCTTTGAAATGGCAATGTCTGTTAAAGGGGTGAATACATTCAAAATACTTTTTTAAAGACTAACTTAAAATCAATTTTGCTTAATTTGTGTTAAATTGCAAAGATGAGCTCTAGATTTGAGCGGTGCAACTCACGGAAACAAAAGAACATAGAAAGTGTACAGGGGTGGTGTAAACCTCTGGAGCAGAGGTTCACAAACAAGGAGACAACTTGCTTGTGATTCAGAAGAAACTCTCTAGGAAATTCTGTATCAAAGACCAGTGGTTTCTAAAGCTGTTATGTTTTTTGAACACATGTTCCATTTTTTGAAATTTGTTAAGTTCTGGGTTTGAGCATTGCCAAAGTATAAGCCAGGAGTTAAAAAAGAAAAGAAGAGAAAAGTTAAAATCTAACTTGTCTTTGTGCTAAGCTCTGGGTTTCTTTTCCTTTAATGTCCAATGACACCAGTATCCTTATACGACTCCAGAGATCCTGTTTCTCTGTCGCAGAGTAGTGAACATATCCCGTGATGAGAAAACCATCCTGAGAGGGCACAGCACAGTCTGTGTATTATTTTGATTCATAATGCTGCCCAGAAAATATTTTGTAGCTGTTTATAAAATCTTACTTTCAAATACAGAATCTTTGTCTCTTCTCATCTAAAAGCTCCAGGAAGCGTGGACTAAGCTTTCAGTCTTCAGCTTAGGGCTGTGACTTTGCAGGGATAGGAACAATCTTTTTTGCCCTTTAGTTCCAATTCACGTGAGTCTATACAGCAGCCTGCCTTCGGGGTTCAAATTTGTATTACTGAAGTTCTCCAGACTCATAATATTCAGCTTCAGAGCATGTACAGAAGCACTTTGACTGTAAAAACATCCACAAGTTAACGCATCGTTGGTAGAATCTATGTGATTTATCTCTGAGTGTATCTGTCGTGTGCCTGTGAGATCAGACTTTGGAAAATAATGCAGAAGGAAGGTGTTCTTTCTGTTCTGGGTGTTTCTCTTTTATGCAATAACAAGCAGTTAGAGCACTTCCTGAGACTGGGGGTGCATTCTGGGTTGAAATACAGATGCATGGAGAGTGGCAGATGTAATATATATTTAGCAAGACTTTTGTGCTTCGCTCTTGCGGTATTGTCATTTTAAAGCTTGAGGGGGTTAGGGACTGGATGATGGACTCTTAGGTGGATTAAAAACTAGACTACGAGGCTGAAAGGGGAGTAACTAATGGCTCAACATCTGTTTAGTATCAGAGTCCCCCAGGGGTCCTTCAGGGGTAAATCCTGATCCCATGTTGTTTAATATCTGCACCAACAACCTGAAAAATTAGAGTGTATCTTCAGCAAATTTCTAACACTACTAAACTAGGGGTTTAGGGGTTTTTTAGTGGCTGATACTATCAAGTGGTAGAGCTTCAAACAGAGAAAACTTGAGAAACTTGAGGACTGGGTGAGCAGAAACCCCATGAAGCTCCACAAGTTATGCACTGAGGCTGGACTAATCCCAGGCAGTGAGTGGTACAGGCTGGGAACAGGCTGGCTGTGGAAGCTGGAAAAGACCTAGGGTTTGTGGTGAATAAGAGGTTGAATACAAGCCAGCAGTGATCTGTGTACCAGTTCAGGACAATATCCATTGCTCAATCTTTAACTTGAATATTCACCAACTTGGGTTTCTACAGAGCAAAGTCTTGTACAACATTCTGCCCAGGACTGCTTTACCACAGAAGCTGACCATAGGTTATTTCTAAGAAGGACACACTACATAGCTTCTGTTCCTGTTCCTTCAGCTTGACAGTTCCTGCTCTTTAAGTAGTTCAGTCCCCAGTTTTAAATACCCGTTTCCTTTTCCAGACTAATGATTTCCTCTCCGCATTCCCCTTCTACTGCCTTTATTGGATTAAGTCAAGCTGGTTGCAGCTTTCCACAAAGTTCATATAGTGGCTACTTTAGTATCTGCCTTAGAATTAGTGCTTCTTTGACTGAATGCTTTTTTCTCTCTCCTTCAGTGCATCTTAACCCATGAAATCTTCCAGTTTCTATAAACACGGATAACCCACATGCTTAAAATTTTCTTTGCTCAGGAAAAGAACTGTTCCTTTTTCTCCTCACTGAGCCCTCATTTCTGTATCTAGGCTGTAACCCCCATTATAGAAAAAATTTCTATGAATTTCCAGCTAGAAATTTCAAACTACTATGCAGTAACAATTTTTGAACCACTGTGAGTTTATTATAACACTCAAATTAACCAGATTACCAGATATACTTCGCGCATCAAAAATTTCCATGACCATACATTGCGTGCTCTTTTTCAGCTTTGATTTTGCAATATCTTGCTTTCTTAATATCTTTCTTGACACAGTCTGTGGCCTCTGAAAGGACCAAGGCTGTTCCACATTCTTCACTGAGCTGTTGTGATGTCTCACTCTTACTTTGTTTGTGAATCTTTGGCTGCGTGCAGAAATTCTGCAGCAGGGATATGCAACTGGAAAGTAAAAGCAATTATTTATTGATGAACACACCACAAAGATGGTTGCAATTTAATGAGGCGTTCACCATTCCCTTATTATCACACCTCCATTGTATGACTCTGTTTCATGAATTCCTACCAGGACCTCCCACTTCATCCCACTCTTGCTGGCCAGCAGTCCGAATTTTGCTCATATTGTGCGTGACATTGCTGACGGCGTTGGTGACCCTGGCAGTTTTGTGTAAGTACTAATGCATTTCTGCTTGCTGGAGGGCTCAAGCTACTCAATAACATCAGACTGACATCTCCTTGAGGTCCAATTTCTGGTTCAGCTGAGAACAGGCAACCATGTAAATCAGTTATTTTCCCTTGTGGTATCTTTGTCCACTTCTTGACATGATGAAGCTAGAGATGAGCAACAAGGAGGGGATCTGGAAAGGGGTCGTATGTAGGATATTCACTGCTTGGTCTGGTTGCCATTGTTTGGTCTCCTAAAAACTGTATCCACAATCCTGCTGTACTGACTAACTATGGAGTGAATTCCTCTTTTATAATGCTAGATCTGAAGGGAAGGAACAAACTTTGTGTCACAGTAAACAGGTTGTGTGTACTACCTCCCAACTGCAACAGTTCCCCTGTGATCCAGGTCTGAAGTTCACATTTTTAGGAAAAAAACACAGCCTGGAAACTGATATAAGAGAAAGACACACAATGGAAATATGTGATGAAAAGTGACACTTAAATTTTCCTGTTCACTTGTTTCTTGTTCACTTGTTCAGCCCAGTAATAAGAAACCCACTGTGCAAAGGTTCTTCATCTCAGCCCTTACATGAAACTGTTCAGGGAGGAGTAACATCTCAAATGGCTTATTTATCTGTATTGGTCTGCAAAGACATCCCTTATCTGTGTCCCACCCTTTCTGAAGGACAGCACTGGGAAACGTATTCTGGTGAATTTCAGTTTTCCAGATTCCCAAGGACTACAGGACACAACTTAGAGACCTCAACATGACAAAGAATGAGCTGCACGCAAATTTCTCCAACATGCTGCAAGCAATAGGAAACCAGCTGTGCCTGGAAGGGGAAACAAACCTTAAAAATAATGGTAAATCAGAAAGTTTTTATGAGGATTTATCTTTCAAAATGTCAGGGAAGGAAATCAGATGTGTCTTCTGTTTCCATTCAGGTCTGTCTCCTCAGGTGAGCCCGTGTCTTCCCTAGACATGAGACCACCTAGAAAGTAGGCAGTGAGAATATCTGCCCCATGCAGTGCCTGGAGGGAGGCACACAGCCTGGTCACATGTCAACTGGAATGGGACCTGGCAGTGGTACCAGGGTTTCAGGATTTAGTTTCCATAAGAAAAGGGTTCTGTGGGATGCCTTCTGGATATGCCAGTTCCCATTAGCACCAGATCTCTACAACATGTTCATCTGCATCTAATGGACACAATTTTACAGTTGTGACTGAGAATTAAACAACTTTATTGCACTCTATGTGAACAGCAGTCCATACACAGGACAGTGTGCTAGTACTGATTCCAGGAAAGACAGGAATCTCTTCAAGTCAGAAGTATACGTGTGGTGAAGCATAGCTAAACCAACCTGTGAGTTCACTGCCTGTCTCCTGACTGCGTACAGTTCAGGGCTGTTTCTGAAATCAGCTTGCAACAGCTTAGTTGTTTAAGTGGCATCTGACAATGAGCCTGCCAGAGAAATAGTTCTCTTCAGAAAGCACTCGTAGGCATCAGGCAAAGGGTTCCTCCTGTGGCTGTCAGGAAGGGGGATTTCATTTGTCCAGATATCGTTTCACAAACAAGCTAATTGTCTGGGTGTCCATTTTAGTCAATGAAGAGAAATTGGTGGTGCAAGGATACGGTCTGTTTTCTCCCAAGACAGACATCAAAAATGACAGGAAAAACATGTATGAGACAAGCCTGCTTCTGTCCATTAACTAAAATAGGAATCCAAACAGGTTGATTCATGTCACCTTTGTAGACTTCTAAAATTAGGCAAAATAAATTCCATTTGCAACACCTGAACCTGTAAGAATGTGAGAGATGGGGGGATGGTTCAGTTTTCATCTCTGTTATTACCTGAACCTTAACCTTCTGGGACCACAATGGGATTTCGACTGAATGAGGAGCATCTCAAATATCATCAGTCCCTACAGATCTTGTTGTCATAGGTCAACAGCGATGTTCTGTGAGGCACAGGCTGGGAACAGAAATAGGGTGATGTTTTTTCTTTTCCAGGCCAGAACTGTGTACTCTGCCCCACAAACTGGAACTGGAAAGGTGGTGATACATGTTACTACCTCTCCATGGAAAAGAAGTCTTGGGAACAGAGTCTCCGGTTTTGTTCCTCACAAAACTCTAATCTTCTTCTGATAAAAGAGGAAGAAAAGCTGGTATGGACTGGTTTCTCACTCTGTTTAGTGTGGAGGAAGTTCATGCACCCCATCAGCTACTTGCCTCACACAAAATTTTCTTCAATGCTACTGTGAGCAGGAGTTTTCTACAGTGATTAGGTTGTCCTGGGCAATGCTAAGACATACAACTGGTCATCGCCACACAGAGCATGGCCCTTCAAGTGGCTGGCCATCAGGGACAGCCCATTTTGCCTTGCCTTGCTATGGCTGGCTTCTTACTGGGATGACTGGTGAAAGCAGATTCATGGCTGCTTTGGTGTGGGTAATGATTTCACTAATTTTACCAGTATTGCAGATCCATACAAGGATTTGGTAAAGATATTTCTGCGAAAACCTGGTGTCTCCCCACAGCAGACCATAGTCTTCCCCATTTTGCAGAACTTCTTTCCACAAAAGCTGATCTCATCTTTCCAGTCAGGATTGGCAGTAAGTTGCTGAAACCTGGCCTAATCTTCTAGTAAAAGAAAACAAGCTGATCTAGGAAGAGAAAATTCCAGGGGCAGGGTGAAATAATGCTTTTGCTTCTGGATGCCAGCAAATGTATTGGAAGACTGAAGGCAGAAAAGTTGTCCCAGGAGCTAGCAGTCAGGACGGGGCCTGCCTGCTCTCCAGCTCTTGACAAATATCAGCTTCCCTCTCACTGAGCTACAGGCCATAAGGTTTCTCCCACGAGTAAAGGGAAGCAGCTTCATTCTCACCCTTGCAGACTGGTGACAGCAGAGGTCGTGAGGTGCAGTCTGTTCTAGCTGTCTTAATCGTGGCATGGAGAGATATGAAGAAAAACAGAAAATGGAAAAGTACACTGGGAGTGACAATGATACATGAAGGAAGGAAAATTTAATTCAAGTCTTTAGAAATCTTCCCCTAGCAGCAGTGAGAAAAGCAGCATTATTCAAATATACATTCTTAACTGTTCCGTTCAGAGCATTTTTTAAGACTAGAATATTGCTCAACTGCAAGATCTCCTCTACTTGTCATGGTTCAGCTTTTGGGAATAAGTTAATGATGCTAGAGCCAAGTGTGAAGGTTCAAGAAATCCAAGAAAACAGCTCCCTGCAGAGGCTTCCTTTTTGCTGCTGACAAATGCTAAGGACAGAGTCAAGAAGGAGGAATGATTCATGACTAACGGGGAGAGAATGATCCAGTGTTTCACCCAGAGGGTTTATATCAGGTTGATGAGGGTGACATTGCTCTTCAGAGCTAAAAGTGTGTATTATTTCCAATTAAAAACAGTTCTACTGTCATTTTTCCTTTGATACTAGGCAGAACTTGTAATGTAAGAACATTTAAGTGCAGAACTTGTCCTGACGGGTGGAACAATTTGTGGTGTTTATGTTTTTTAAGCAACTTCCATCAACGATTTCAACTTCTCAACTTAAATATTTGTTTTTAATATATTCCTGAACATCCATTTTAAACTGTCCTTACTATGCATAGGAACTGTTAAAAAATTTCCCTAGAGAAGAATACTGGCTTGGACTTAGAGTTCAGCAGAGAGTCTGGTATTGGGCAGACAACACCACTCTTACAGAACAACAAAAGTCTTGGTAAGTGGGCAGCTTTCTCAAAGTACATAAAATTGGTCCTCACCCACATACAACTCCCAGTTTCTGTGACTCAAAGGACACATTGAACTTTAAACATTTATGCAGCTATCTCTGTATTGTGGGGCTCAGTTTTCCATTTCAGATTTTTCTTGACCTCACCCAGAACTGCTTGGAGGGTGATCTAAGCACTATTACTGGGGGGAAAAAAAATACCCAGAAAGCTTATTTTCATAAGTGACTTTCAGATTGACCATAAATGTCATACGTTTTTCTTGTGTTGGACATCTTGTTTCTTCTCAAGACAAGGAAAAACTCCAGTAGAAAGCTGTTTCATTTCATGCTTTTGATTTTATACCTTTTTATTTTCATAAAAGGCACTATTTATTCTCTAGAACCATTTCGCTTGGGTTTAAGGTATTATCTCAGATATACAATATATTTTAGTTCTTGCTTCCCAACCTGCTTTACCAATTTTCTTTTCCATTATTGGGCAGTCTCCTGTTAGTGTTTCTGTTGAAACAACCACTGACACCCTCCAGCTGGTACACAAGAGTTAGCATTTCTTACAGACAGGTACAAAAGTAGTTTAGGATCCACACTTGGTGTCTGCTGGGGGTGCTTGTTGGCATGTTCAGGACAGGATCAGCCTCCTAGGAGTTGGCACATGATATCACGAAACACTTCATTTTATTGCTGGGGATATATATTCTTCATGAAAGCCACATAAAGAATTCTTGCAAAGACAGCTCTTTTTGGAAGGGGCAAGGATCTGAACGAGGTGCAACATAAATATAGATTTTTCTTTCCTAGGGTAAAGCCTAGCTACTACGCCGAATGCTGTGGATGGGTTTATTATGCTACCATATATTGCAAACCATGTAAAGGAGAGCTTTACTATATCTGTGAAAAGCCTGCCATCCAACTACAGCGATGTAACAACTCTTGTCAGGAAGGCTGGTTTGTCAGACCAACTGATTATGAGAAGCCAGAAGACCTTCTGCAAGGTTGGATTTTTTTATTTTGATTTTGAGAACTATCACATGAGAATTTAAGTATGTTCTATCAGTCCTAATACATTTCCCTGTTTTCATCCTCTTTTAGATCTGTAAAAATATCTTCATATTAAGGAAATGGGCATGGTGACAGGCTCCAGGAGCACCCCAAGTTTGTCATTCCAGATTGAAAACTGCCAAATGACTACTTAGTTTTAACCAACACAAGTGATGGACAAAATGGCCAAAAGTGATGGCCAGGAAAAAAACTACAGTGACAAGCACAGGGATTCATAGTCCTCATAAAGACTTGTGCATGTGTCACAGAAGATACCCTTCACTGTGAATGTCAAGCTCTTTACCACGTTCTATACTTCTCCTGGCACTGTTAGGTCTCTTCCACACACACACACACCTTTTTTTTCCTTTTTTCTTTTTTCCTAATAATAATTCTATTCTTCTTTTCTACTTTTCTAATTTTCTACTTTTTATATCTATTAGAGAGTTACACTAGGGTTCAAGTCAGAGGCATGAACAGAACCTCCTTTTATGTATTTTTAGGATATTTCCTGGAATGCCATGCTACTAATTCAATGTGCTGAGCAAGGGTCTACAAACTCAACCATAGTGAAAATATCCCAAGCAGTGTAATGAACAAAATCTCTCCCTCCACACAGAACAATGACAGTCAAGCTGAAATAAGAAATCTCAGTCCCATAACGGTGTTTTGGTTTGAGCAAAAAGTCCACAATTTCCTAGCTTGGTCCCCTCGGGAGACTTGTGCATTCCTTGTAGATTTCATCCCAGATTATTTATTGTGGATCATCTACCAACGGGCTTCTGAAGCACTAGTCATTCTCTTCAAGAGGCTGTTCTAGTGCCTCACTGCCCTCAGCATTACACAGCAGTTTCTGATCACCAACATAAACATTTTGGGTGCTATTTTCAAACACCGGTTTCATACTCTGGAAACCTTAGTGGATTTCTCTTCCTCTCTGCTGTTTACATTCACCAATTACATCTCTAACATAACTTTTCCTACCTGCTCCTGCCTTTGGCGGTGAAAATGCAGAGTGCTTCTGTCCTGCCATGCAGACACAGCCCTGGTGACTTCCCAGAGTGTCTCTCAGCATTCATAGAAGCTTTACTGAAATAAGAAATCTCACATGGAAGGTATTCCAAACTGTATTCATGATGCATTCTCTTTTGATAATGATGGGCTTTGCTTTAATTTGCAGAAATATTAAAAAGAAAGAAGAAAAAAAAGAAGTCTGACCTTTTAAGTTTTCTTTTCTGTTAGAGTGACTGTGAAGAAACAGGAAAGATGTTTCCAAGGTGTTTTCTTATTAACGAGCCATATCTAGGAGCAAATGGCCTGATCCTAGGTGTTTCTGCAGTATGGAAGACAACCATGCACTGAGATTGACAGCTTTGCATGCTGACAAGCAGCCACAAGGCTGCATCCTATCTTTGCCTGGATCTTTTGTGTCAATTTACTGCCAGCCCAAAAGCAGTTTCTGGTGCAGTGACTGAATTTGTAATTGTAAAGGCAGGTGGGGTTAGAGTGTAGTTTCGCAGTGTGAAACAATGTCTGAAACACACACAGAGAAAAAAATAATAAAAATAAAAGGAAGGAAAAAAAAAAAGAAATAAAGTAAAAATCACCCCAAAGGAAGAAGAGGCAGTGTCCTACCATTCACTGCAGGCACTCAGAGTACTGCAGTGAACAGCTTCATCCAGCAAGCTTGAATCTGGCAAAGGATATACCCTTGTGGTGGGGTAACCTGGCTTTGCAAGCCATCCTTACAAAGGCTTTAAGGATGCACTGTCTGTATCCCCTTTTCCACTGAAATGTGCTTTTCTTTATAGCAGAAGAGACACAGAAATGTACTGTTCGTGTATTGGCTGAGATGGCATTTTTGAACCACAGCTCCATGCAACAAATAGTGTTTCCCATGTCTGAATTCCAGTCCTCACCATGCCCCTTTCCACTCGCCCCCATCACAGACTCCAGCTAATACAATTTACTAGGTCACATTGTGGTTAATAAACACAGCTGTTTCATCCAGCCTGCTGACAACATTTATACACGTGTTTAAACGTAGGCCCAGACTTCCTGCCTTAGTTTACCGTCTTTTTAGTCTGAAGAAACATGAAATTTTGCCTGCTCTGCATCCTTAAAAGAACAGAGAGCATGATGATGAAATGCTATAACTCACAGACTGCTTACTGACTTCGGAGCTAACAAAGTAATACAAGAAAATTACTTTACCTCCTATTTTCAGAAGTAAAATCAGGTTGGAGAAATTCCCCCAGAGGCAATTGAATACATACTTGAGAAGTTGTTGCTAAGACTGAAGAGGTTACAGTCATGAAAACTCACAACCAAATTCAGTAGCACACACTTGACTCCCAGTTATCTGCAGAAAAGCCTTTTTTACACTAAGGTGCCAACATACAGTTGTCAGGCCAAATAGACAAGTATTTTTGTACCATATTTAGCATGACGTTTCTGTGAGGCTATTATGGATATATCACGAATACACAGCAACTGCTACTCCTTGGTTGCCTCTCTGTGTAATAAACCTGACCATAAGCACCCTTTACTCCCAACTGTTCCATCCTGCCTTCTTTTTGCATACAGATAAGATATAATGCAAGAAATACATGCAGTCAGAGATATTTCTGCTTCGAAAAAATCCATCATCTGCAAAGCAAAGCAGGAATAGCCCAGTCATTAGAATGTATTACAGTTTATTTCCAGGCTGTTGATATTATTTTGCAAATTGGAGACTTTGAACTTTACACACAAGAGCATGAACAGCTACCGCAGAAATGCCTTTCTTGCAAGAGAAGAATTTCCTTCCGTCAAGTCACCACAGTGTGACTCATCATGTCTGCACAAGTGCTCTGTTTAAGGAGAGTTGGTCACTGAAGTTGCTGAAGAACTACAACTCAGCATTGGGTCAAGGCACTACAAAGAGCTAGAGATGAAGAGTGAGGATGGGTAAGTCACTTCAGTGTAGTCTGGTCTTCCTCTGACACAGGCTGAGCAGTCATGTGAATCCTGTCAAGCTCCTGGCCTCACCATCCTTTCAGCTCAGTTTTCCCCCTATTAGCATTTATTTAAGTGAATTTTTGTAAAATAATTTACTTTATCATTTATTTCATAACAGCGTATGGAGATTTGGCCTCTTGCTTTCCATGCAGCTCTTATGTTGTATTTGTGCCCTGATGCACGAGCAGATATATTTCAAACCTTAAGTCAGAATGCAACTCATTCTAGAGCATCTTATTTTAAGGAGGTAGAAAATCCTAATATTTGCTGTATTTACAGGGTCAGATCAGGAGGATAGTTAAATGAAACAGTCTTAGGTTCTGACCAGGAACCGAGACTTCCCATTTTCACATTCAGGAAGAAAATATCCATCTTTGACACTGCCACTTTAACTCCTTAATGTGCTTTCAACATGCTACACTTCTACTATGACACAGTAATCAGACTAGGGCCAGCTTCCTCTGTGGTTTCCCTGGACAGGCTGATAAATGAACCATTCTCATTGGTCTCAGCAGTGTACCCTTACTCCCAAAATACTGCTATTGCAGGAAAGAAGTGTGACGAGCTGGAGATGGAGGATGAGGAAGGCTACACCACTTTAAATTTACGACCCTCAGCTTCAGTTAATACTCCTGGATATCTGAGCAGCAAGAAATGTTCTACATTTAAGGCTCCAGGCAGTTGTGTTATAGTAGACAGTAAGTACAGATGGAAATTAGCTTTTCTACTTAAATTAGGACATAACTTGTATTCGTATGTTCGTGTTGATTGCTTTAGAATCCTTCTAAACTTTACAGCATGTTCTTATATAAATGTTCATAGAAACAGCAGAAAGAAAAATCATAATGGAGTCTTGTTTGCTATGATCATAGATTATATTTTACTCCAGGAAATTCAGAACAGTGATTACAAAAACTGCATTAAGACAAAAAAGAGGCTCTGCAGGAGGAAGTTGTGAATGCTCCATCACTGGCAGTGTTCAAGGCCAGGTTGGACAGAGTCTTGGGTGACATGATTTAGTGTGTAGTGTCCCTGCCCATGGTAGGGGGGTTGGAACTAGATGATCTTAAGGTCCTTTCCAACTCTAACTATTCTGTGATTCTGTGATGCAGTGAACTGGTGTAGTTAGAGAGGAGGTAACACCACTGCATAGAAAGAAGAGCTGTTAGTTTTGTTGCTGAATGTGTTTATTGTTTGTCCCAGGAGCCTCTGCCTCATCTTCCGTATGGAAGTCAGTGGCCTTTGCTTTCCTCGCTTTGTGCCTGGTGCTACTGCTGGGGCTGGTAGCCCTGCTGGCCCTGTGTAAGTACCACGTTGTCCCAAGATGCTGCTGTGGGAGTGAACTCCACATGTACAACTGCTGCTTCTCTCCCTGCAGACTGCCCCTGTTCACCCAGTGAAAATAATAAGGCAAGAAGGGCAACAGTGCAGCCCTTCCACGGAAGTTCCCAACAGCTGAGTGTCAGCACAGGTCACTCAGGATCACTACTATCTGCACTTCTAGCTACCTTAACCATAAGGGTTACACTAACCCTAATGCAAGACCTAAACCTCACTAACCTTAACCCTAAAACTAACCCCTAACCTTAATCTTAAACTCAATTACCCTAACACTAAAGATAATCCCTATCCTCAAGCAAAAACCCAACCCTTAAATTGAACCCCAAGTGTAATCCTAAATTATAACCCTAAACATAACCCCAACACTAACACCTAATGCCTACCTCTAATCATAGCGACCCTAAACCTACTCCTAATCCTAACCCCAACCTTAACCCTAACCCACACCTCTAAGCCTAACCCTAACCTTTACCCTAAAACCTAACCGTAACCACTAACCCTAAGTCTAAGTCTAACCCCTAACCCTTAACACTAATCCATATCTGAAATGCTTAATTTCCACAGTAGAAGCTCACCTCACTAGCCACACAATCTTGGTAGGGATGCCCACCACCCCACCCTCCCATGACTTTTACTGGAATATTTCACAGCTACAGTTCCCTCTTTTTTCTTGGATCCCAAGCTTTTTGCAAGGAGGCCAATTCTGGCATCGAATCACTGTGACCGGTCTATTTGTCCACAATTACAGCAGATTTTCCACAGCAACATTTCAATGAACAACCAAATATGACGCCACAATACATTTGGAAGCAGAGACAGAGAATCCTCATCTTCTTTTTGGCAGGAGGGAAGCAGTTGCAAGTGCCCAGGACGAACACTCAGGGTGGTCCATGGCCTCACAGCAATGTCAGTTCACAGGCAATTCTTCAGGTTTCTAGTCTGACACCTACTCTTTCCTCCCCACCATACAAAGATGGACTATCAACAACTCGCCTGTAGCTTTGTCTAGATGACCTTTGAAAAACTTCACAGATGGAGATGCCCCTACCTTCCCAGGTGACCTTTTCCAGTGCTGCACAACCCTCTTGGTTAAGAAAAAGCAGATGATGTACATGTGGTGGTGGACATACAAATAAAGAAGACCCCCCCAAAAAAAAAGTCAAAAGCTACAATTAAAGCTACAATTTTTATAAAACCTTTGATAAGCACTTTCATACCCTTCAGTTTTTCAGGTTTCCAAGGAGCCTGAGGAAGGAAAGAAGCTGCAGGAAATGAGGGAAGCATTATGTTTTGAAGGGAAGGAGAAGAATGGTAAATGTGGTTGTTATGTAAATAAACACAAATCACCCCCTTTACAGAGCCCCTTGCCTGAGACACTATAAAATTACAGGGAAAGATCTGACTGGTTCATGTCCTGTTTTAACTGTGGTAGTATTTGAGGTGTGGATATGTGTACGCTAACATGCAAAACATCTTGTCTCTTGTTCCTCAAGAGCTCAGCTGATTCAGCTCTCCCCTTAATCTTTCCTCGGTGAACCCAGTAGCTAAAGCCGTGTACGCCTCACAAGTCTGCATAATACTCTTTCTGACTTCTAGAAACAAAATGTCCCCTCTGTCCAGCAAGCTGGCACAACAGTGGAGCTGACAACTGTTTCTACATTTCAAAGCAGAAGAAAACATGGAAGCAAAGTCAAAAGTTCTGTTCCTCAAGAAACTCCACTCTTCTGGTGCTAAAAGACAAAGCAAAGATGGTACATCTTTTTTTATGCTTTTAACCTCATACATTTCTTTATGGGATGTGTTTTCACTTCCTGCAATCTCACAGGAAGAAAGTAGTCGGGTCAGTTACAGTGAATATGTTTAATTTTCCCTGGTCAAGCAGCCTTCCCACAAGTCACAACATTGCCATGACTTGCAACACCTTCTAAATTGTGTGCTGTGAAAATTATGAGTTATGGTAAATAGAGTAAGTCATTGCATAAAGTACCTTTGTTAGCTAATACTTAGGTTTTCACAGAGGAAGTAGATTTCACATAATCAGCATGGAGGAGAGATACCCAGCACACAGAATACATGTTTTCATTCTCTTGTTCTACAAGTTTTATTACTGCAGGCTCCCAACTTCAAATTCCCATCTACCAGGAAATCTAGAGAGTGTCTGATTCACCATGGTACTGTCATGCTGCAGTGTGAAGTGACTATAAAAGGTTGCTTTCTGGCCCTGTGTAGTACCCTCACAGAGTGCTGTTAATGGTAGTACAAAGACTAGACAGTCTTGGACTTTAGGGAATTAATAATTTTAAGTAGTCTTATTAATTTGCAGTTGGTTTTGATGACTAATGAAAAATCCCTAATCTGCTGTCAAGGCCGGCCATCTTTTCCCTTTTTGTACACATACACCTGGGAACCTATTTTCCAAAACATATTAAGCTTACACAAATCCCAAATAGCCTTATTTTCTTCTATGCTACATAAAACTTTGAAAAGGAAACAAGCTTCCCTGGAAATGTCTCATTTTTCCAGATGGAGTTAGTTTCAGACTGGGGTTCTCAACTCTTATTTTAAGGCATAAAGGCTGGCCTTTTGGATTATTTTTTTTTTTTAAGTGAAAAACAGATGAGATTTAAGTGAAAATCAGATCAGAGAGAAAATAGAAAGTGGATATATGGTTTATTATTGAGTTTAGCAGCATCCTGAGGTTAGAATCATGGTTCCCACTGTTGGGATACACCTGAATACCACACCTTCAATGCTGAATTCAAGAGATTATTTTGATATCCTGTATAAATCCCTGGATAGTTTCACTCCAGATGTCTGGATGCTTGTTTTTTCTTCCATGTTTGGTGTAGGCAGCTGCAGCCGGACTGAGGCCAGACCAGTTTAAGCCAGCTATGGATTTTAGATTTTGGATGAGTACCTAAACATGCTGCTAAGAAGCAGTAGAGTATCTGGAGGACATGAAAGAGCTAAGATGCTATGGAACCTCTTAGGTAGCACTTAGACACCTATGGAATTACTCCAGTGCCTAAGCATAGGTTTTGAGGGCAATCTGAAATTATCTCTTTGACATCCAAATGATACCTCATCAGGGCAAAGTTCTCCCACAGGTTCTTCAGTCTTGTCTGTCAGCCAAATGTAAAGACCTCAGACGAGTTGGAGAATCCCAAAAGGGTCGGAAGGCCTGTATTTAGGTCACAGGCTCTGCCCTCTAGGCTGGGAATTCTCTCACCTAACTTCAGGCATCTACAGTGTAAGTGGCCTGCAACTTCGGAGCTACTCCCCCAGGCTCCGTTAACAGCCGGTGGGAGCTCTGGCCAGTAGTCAGTTTTCAGTAACACTCCCACTGGGTAAGGTGGACCAGTTCTCATGCTCCACTGGATCTCTTGGCCACATCTCTGCTGACTCCAACTGGTGCTTAAATAGTGCTCTCATATGCATATCTAAATTGCAAATGTCTAAAGGCAGTGTAGATACCTAAAGGAAGACCAGGTTTTTGTTTGTGTGTTTTCTTTTAAAAAGCAGGTTTTTTAGAGATCCAGGGTACATTTGTCTTGTGGCATTTCAATAAACAAAGGCATTTGAATGATCCTGTAATTAGAACAGTCAGTACTGCCTCATGGAAAACAAGCATGGAGAACAGATCACTCTCCTAGTGAGTAAGAGTTACCTCCTTTGGTTGCAGTTCCTTCACAGCTGGAAGATACAGGAACTTGGGCATCATTTTTGCAATATTATTGTGATGATTTTCTCATACCTACAGGTTTCTCTGCCACAGGATTCACAGTTTTACTGGGTTGGATTATCATACATATCTGAAAGGAGCGGCTGGTACTGGGAGGATGGAACAGCTTTTTCAAAAGAAGCAACAAATTGGTAAGCCTTCATAGTTTAGGACCAGTGCAGTTCTATCTGATGTGCCCCAGTAAATTGTATGAGACTTATGCTTCCTTTTACTTGCCCATGCTTGTCACATGTGCAATGATGAGGGAGTATGGAGACTATAGTATCTACTATGGAGCTTCAGATTAATGTCCTGCGTAAGAAACAATGGGTGGCAAAGTACAGCTCAATCACGTGCACATGAAAAAAGGACCATCTAGCACAAATAAAGTATCTCCAAGGGGGAAATAACTCTACATTCCAGTGGAAAATGATTACAAATAGTCTAAATATCAATCACATGATATTACCAGGACATCATTAAGCTGTATCTTTTAACT